AGGCCAAGCCTTATAGATAAACAGCATGAACAGTCTATTAGAATCTCTCATTGAACAAGCATGTTTCTTTCTCAAAAGGCAAAACCAACCCCTCACCCCCATCACAGCCCCACCTTGAGTTGAATATTTTATTTTATTTTTTATTTTTTATTTTTTTTTTTGGGGGGGGGGGGTTGGAATTGCTAGGTTTGAAAATTATAAAATCAAATTGACCAAACCAATTCCCAACTTTCCAAATTATCACATTCCATGATATCTACTACTCGATCAATGACAATGCAACAAGAACCTGAACATACACTGCCAATTAAGGCTTTTACAGACATTTTGACAAATGTCTTCCAAATAGCTAGAGAAACAGAATTCAACTCTTGGCTCAGAGAATCAAGGATCAGAATCCATTTCTTTCAGCTCATTTGATGCTGCAATGTTTAACCCAAGCACCTGCAAAAGCATTCAGATCAGGAGACCAAAATAACTTCTAATCTGAGTACAGATTATCAAGATTAGAATAATCTAAGTAGGAACAATCAAGATCATAAAATCTAATAAATCAAAGAACTATGAGTGGAACTCTAGCTGTCCACCTAGAAATTGAAAACTAAGTGTCTGCAAAACATCACACCTCCCCACTCCCCCACCAAACAAAAAAACCATAATAGCAACACACACACACACACACAGAGCATTCCTTGTGGTTACAACATTCATCAGGTGAAGAGCTGTAGTCCCTGTGTAGGCGTTTGGTGTGATGGGGGCCGAGAGAGAAGTTTTTGAACGTCAACTTTACGAGTTCAGTAAAGTCAATCTCAATGTGTGTGTGTGTGTGTGTGTGTGTAGAGAGAGAGAGAGAGTCACAGAGAAGCATGGATTATCTAGGAAAGGATATAGTCCAATAAGGGACAAAGAAAAATTTGAACGTATGCATGAGTGCCTTGAGAGGAGAGAGAGGGAAGGAGAGCATTATGTATAGCTCCAATCTTCATGTACACTATTGACTCAATCACTCAAGCTAGAAACCTTCGAAGCCGGAGAGTCAGATGATCCTGCTTCCCATTCATTCTTTTACAAAGATGATTGCAAGAAACAGTGCTGCCTAAAGGCGAATTAACTACAAGTGTCGAACAGTCTCAATTCCCTATACATTATTATTCAAAACTTGCACCTTCAAACTCCAAAATGGGCCATTATTATATTTTGCAAGTACTCTGCACAGCCTCTAAATCGTCCCAATTTTGGCTTTTCAGTACCCTATCTAATTCCAAAACCGCGCTCCTTTCTTACTGCCCAAACAAGTCCTAAGAGTTCCTATTTTATTAAACCTTTTAGGCACCGATAAACTGGTTATGACTTGTGACTAGTCTAAACACCATTGTTCGGATTTTTCACTTCTATAGCAATTTTTGTGTTAGCACTTGAACAAGCGTGTGTATGCAAGCGTCCTAGATTACCTAAGCTGATCCTAGTAAAGCCAAACTCAGCTAATTGAGCACATGATTGAAGAACAATGCCAGCTGCACCAGACAAATTGAAGACGAAATCAGTTCAAATCTCAAAAGGTTTAATTCAATTTCAATGAGTAAATTCCATGCTCCAAGACCCATCTTTCATGCCATGAACCACTCGATCTTGGTCATATTGCCATTATTTCCTGCTGTCCATTACCTTATTTTTCAACTTAAGAAAGTGACAAAGTGGTTACGATGTCCTAAAATAATTCTAACTCACACACACAATAGAGGAGAAAGGTAGGTAGGAGATTTGAACCCACGACCACCTGCCAGTAGGGACAGTTCTACTGCCCCTAAAATTGCAACGAGTTTCACTATTGGCGCAAGAAATGGATTTCAAGAACTAATAAAACAATAATAAACTAGTCATTTGAATACTAAGTTCGGTACTATTTCACCTTTGTGTTTGCATATAAGAAGAGAGAGACAGAGAAGGGGCAAGGAAATTACCAATTTATGAATGTGGAGAAGGAGACGAGGGTTCGGAATTGCCACGGCGAAGACTTTCGATCAAATCACCAAGCTCCTTGCGAGCAGATTCTCTGCCGAACATGAAACCATACCTGTTAAGAGTAAGTGATATACATATTTCAATCGAAAAATTAAGACCTTTCAAAGATCACCGGTGCATAGCAGAAGTAGAAAACAAAACCCTAATTCTTGAAGAAAAAACTGAATGTCTGTAGGACGTAGTTGAAGAGAGAGATATTGCCAGAAGGAAACGGCAGAGAAGACGCCTGCTGTGGCGATTGTCTGTATGAGAGTGAAGGTTTTCTCCATTCTACACCACTCCTATTACTCAGCTATGCGTGTGGAGAGAGAGAGAGAGAGAGAGAGAGAGAGGTGACTTGTGGCCCATCTGGCGGGCTTATAATAAATTTTTTCCTTACCGAAAAAAAACTTAGAATAAATTTTCTAATTAACTTTACAATTAATCACAATTTGCACCCTAAACGATTATTCAATTCTCAATTTGCACTTTTAATCAAGATTTTCACTATGCACCCCCAATATCATAAATTTATGTTTTTCGTTTTTCGTTTTTATTTTGATATTTAGAGAAAACAAGAAAAAAAAACTCATTTGATAATCGTTTTTATTTTATTTTTCTGTCATTGTTTTGTAAACGAGGGACGATTTTCAAAAACGAGAAAAAGACGTTTTTCGTTTTTTGATTCTGTTTTTCGTTTTTTAAAAAATCAAAAACCATAAACATTACCAAATGAGCCCTTTAATTGATCCTAAACCAAACTACTGTTTAGTTTTTCGTCTGAAACATAAGCCTGTGAGTTGTGAGTGGCATTGGGATGAGCTTAACTATAACTCACGTGTTTTTTTTTAGACGAAAAACTGAATGATAGTTTGTGTTAGGATCACATAGACACAAATGTATGACAATGGGGGTGAAAATTACAAATTTCGATTTTTGAATCTGCAAATTAAAAAGCAATGGATTTTTTAAGGTTCAAATTCCAATTAACCCTTAAATTTATCTAGCAAATTTATCAATATAATTAATTGTTGTATTACTAGCATGTTATATCCAGTATTAAAACTCACAATGGAAATAATGATTTTCAACAACAAATCTAGCTAGTAAATTTGACCTGGATAGTATTATTCATGCGTAATCAATCATTAACAGAACATTGTGATTTAAATTTTTTTTCTATTTTTGCATGGTGGGTATATTTTTTTTTTATAGTAAACATCTATATAATAAAGTAACTTACAATTCAAATCTCAAAAGATAAACAAAATAATTTTTGTTATTCGCGGTTGAAATCGCTTCAAATTTTATTTTAAAATTAATCTAACGACTAATATTAACACCCTAAATTTAATAGAAAAAATAAGCTCCTAAAGGTGTGTTTGGAGTAACTTTTTAAAAGTACTTTTAAAAATTATTTCTTATAAATACTTTAAAAAAATAGTATTTGAAACTGTCCCACCACTACTTCTACCACCACCGCCGTCACCACCACACCTGGCCGCCAACGCCACCATCACCACAGTCATCGTCGTCATCGTCACTACCGCCGTCGTCGCCGTCGTTGTCACCACTACTCCTACCACTGCCACCACCATTGCCGCCCACAATTTCTTATCCCCCACTACAAATCGATGTTTAAATTTTTTTATCTATTCTCTATATTTGTGATTTGATTTTGTATATGGATACAAATATGTATATTATTTACCATTTTTTATTACTCTGTACATTCAGACACAGGGAATAAACTAGTTTATATAATAAAGTAGTTTACAATTCAAATCTCAAAAGATAAACAAAATGACTTTTGTTATTCGCGGTTGAGTTCGTTTTAAATTTTACTTTAAAGTTAATCTAACGCCTAATATTAACACTCTAATTTTAATAAGAAAATAGGGTGTGTTTGGAATGACTTTTTAAAAGTATTTTTAATAATTATTTCTCATAAATATTTTTAAAAAAATAATGTTTGAAACCGCCCCAACACTACCTTTACCACCACCACCCCAACCCCCACTTTTGCCACCGACGCTACTATCGCTGCCACCATTGTCGCTACTACCGCTGTCTCCGTCGTCGCCACTACCATCACTACCACCGTTGCCACCTCCACCACCACCGTCGTCGCCGCCATCGCCATTGCCAACACTACCATTGCCACCAGAGTTATTATCACCCACTAGAACTATCACCGTCTCTTGTCGCCACCACCACTATAAACTGATGTTTAAATTCTTTTATCTTTTTTTTTATGTTTGTAATTTAATTTTGGATATAAATACAAACATGTTTATTATTTATTTATTTTTATTACTTTGTGCCTTCAGACACAGATAATAACTAGTATTATATAAATTCTTAATATTTTTTATAATATTAAAGATTTTTCTGTAAATAATAGTGGACAATTTTGATTTCATAATACCCATAAATTAAGGGATCTATTTGTTGTTTCCAAATTTTTTTAGGTGATTTTGCAAGTAGCGGAGACATCATCAATTGACCAATCTTAATCTTGTAATTAACAAATAGTATAGAGGGAAAAGTTTGAGGCTTTGTTTAATGTGCATGAATTGATTAGACTTGTCAACTGTATCGGCGGATGAGAGGATTGGGTCGGGGTGAATTTGTCTCAAAAAATATTTTACTCATATTTAAATTTTTTATTAATTCGTATCTAACGAATCATGTTATATAAAATCCGTGTCATGTATATCTTTTGATTGACTTTACTCATACTCAATTCTTTTATCAATTCTATCATATCGGATCCACTTATTTACAAAAAAAATTTAGCTTAAAAAAAATTTAAATCCTTTAATTTCATGTCATGTTCATATGGTATTAACTAATCGTATAGTATTTTGACACCACTACCATAAAGAATTTTAGTCTTCAACTATGAAAAATAAAAATAAAAATCATTCATTTTTTGTTACAATATTAGTTAAACTGGTTATTTATATATAATACTAACTCAATTCATATATTATCTGTATAAATCAATATTGTCAAACTTGACACCCCATACTCCCCTCCTTTCTCCACATAGGAAAGACTCAGGACTTTGCTTTTTCTGAAATAGTTCCTTCATCAGAATCTTGTATTGCTAGCATCAAGCTCTCCACCACCTCACTCATCGTTGGCCGATCTCTTGCATTCCTGTTCAGGCAGCTATCAGCCAACTTTGCGATTCTCCGGGCAGCGGTCAAAGAATATTTGCTGCGGAGACGTGGATCGATTATCATGCTAAACCTCTTGCCATCAGCTGGGAACTGTTTCACCCAATCTATAAGTCTCTGCTCCATTGTTGGCCTGTTTCTTTCCACAGTCCGCCTCCCTGTGAGTATCTCATAAAGCACAACGCCAAAGCTCCACACGTCACTCCTGATCGAGACACGGCCAGTTTCAACATACTCTGGGGCAGCATATCCATAAGTCCCAATAGGCTGATAACAATAAAAATAATCAAAAACATACCCCAGAAGTTCCTTATGAATAGAACCAAACTAGTGAATAAACACACTACTTCTAATGAAGAAATAAAGAGTTGCAACAGCCATTTGGTTAGTTCCCTTTGAGCTTTAGAAATATGGTAAACTTTTGAACAAGAGACAACCGGTTCAATAACAGTTCCTTATGAATGGGAGACACTAGAATCATAGCTCACTTAATAGTGCCGCCAATTTAAAGTAATGCAAAATAAAAGGATCAAGCATCAATGCAGAGATGTACATAGTTGGTTACTTAAAATGTGTTGCAGAAGAAATAGAATTAGCTAATGGAGTATCCAAAGATGCCATAAAACTCTATCGTGCAGTGTCTTCTTACCTCAGTAGATACATGAGACCGGTCCCCTATTGGCCCTTCCCTTGCAAGTCCAAAGTCCGAAAGCTTCGGATTGAAGTCTTTGTCCAAGAGGACATTTGAAGATTTGAAGTCTCGATATATCACCTTCCCAATTTGACAGGAAAAAACAGTTCAACAATAAGTACACATGTATATTGTTCTCAAAAAAGTTACAATTTTCAAAGGCAAAGGCAGTAAGGGAACATAGGACTTAAATAAGAAATTGATGGTGCTTATTTGTTTTTAACTTCCTAATGTGCTCTAATCTTGGTACCAGCTGGTATACTTCTTTTAAGACACAGTTCTTTTAGCTCAGTTTGAGAAGCTTTCCCGAATGCTGACTAAGTCATTGTTTTAGCACGAAAACAATAGTGCAGACAAAGGTTTGCCCATTTACTGAGATATGTCACTACAGAAAGACAAACTTGAACCTCTCACTGTCTCACATGAGTCGACTACAATGAGAATCAATTTGAATATCTCTGTTTCATCTTGCATGACCAAAAAGAAGGAAGATATTTTCAGAGAGTGCTTGAGAGAAGTGTTCGGCTACACAAATTAAACTTCCAATAACAATGAACTGACTAGACTTTGTTTTTCTGTCATGCTAGTGCTGGCTGTTTTCCGGAACACCGCATTTCTCCAAACCTATCATAGACTCATAGGCTGATCTAAAATGGACATTATAATGACTATAGTCAGAACAGAGTCTAAAAGACCCCACACCACACCTGGACTAAATATGGATCATACCTGGATTTCCAATCCCTTGTGCAGATAAGCCATTCCTTGAGCTGCTCCAAGGATTATATTTAATCTTGTTTTCCAAGGAAGGGTAGGCATAGAGCAGTTGAAAAGATGTTCTTCCAAGCTCTTATTGGGCATGTATTCGTATACCAACAGGCGTTGGATCCCATTTTGTCCATCTACAGAGCAGTATCCTAAAAGTTTTACGAGGCTTGGGTGATCAACAATACCAAGAAATTGAACTTCCGCAATCCATTGTCTATGACCCTACATGACAGAAGAACGAAATGTTTAAAAATTTGAAGAACCAAGGCAACCAATAACAACTATTAGCAACTACTTAAAAGAAAAACCAAAAAGGGAGCAAGTAACTACAGGATGGGTTTTAAGTAAGATAATTGGGAGTATGTGGCTTCCTTTCATCAGAAATCAACTCTGCTCTGCAGATTGCTACTTATTCTTCTCTCTCATCTCCACACCAGTTCTTGAACCACTAACCAGGACATTAGGATCTCACATTCATAGACAACTGAGGCACAAGGAGGGCCAATGTGTGTATTGTGTGGCAAATAGTGTAGCAGTGTAGTTAAATTCAAACAGACTCATGAACTCAAATAAAGACAACCATAATGTGAATTTACTATGGGTATGCTTTGCCAGAGGCAGGGCATGAAAAATTTTTACTCATAAAAGAAATTGAAGAAAAGGTAGATAGTAAAAACGTCTTTCAAAGGCCCAAGCAAATGACATAAACCCCCCCACATGTGCTTAAATAGATACATTTTACATGCTATGGGCAGCAATAAAAACTTCTCAGATATGCTATGTAATTCTGTTGTTATCACTCAATTTTTTTTTCCAAAGACCAATATCTTTTCTAATGGAGGTCATTTCCAAGATGAAACTTGAATTCCACATGGCTGTCACGCTCATTCTTGCAATTGATAGCAAATCCACGTTATTTTGACCCAAAACATGATAACCATAGAAACCAAAAACAAATCTACATACAAGTGACCCAAAGAAGTATATAAGTTTGTTTTGCAAAACAAGTGCCTTTAATCCAACGTATGAAGCTCATAATAAGAATCCCAGAAAACTACACTAAGGTCTAATAGACTACCAGAATAGAGCAATAAGTCTAACTTGTCAACCATTTCACAAATTGGCAGGATGTTTGGACACTGCATGTATCGGAGATCAATTTATTCCCATTTCCCTAGCAATCTAGGATAAAATTCCATCTCTGAAAAAGGTCAGTCATATCCACAAAATATATTATCATCATAATAGTTGACCCTCATTGATATAAAGTAGTGTCTAATGAGACACTATCCATGACGTTGGAAAAGAAACAAAATTGCCGCTTCAGGTGGCGATAGTTCAAATCTGTAGACAAACTATTTATCAAACAGAAAAAAGAAAACCCGCCTCCCCTTCGGATTCCATATCTCTTTTAACTCTATATATGTGGGCACCTGATATCTATGAGGATTCACCCACCCCAGCCACAGCATTCCTTTCTATTTTTCTTGCATATTTCACCCTCATCATGTTGCATAGCTATGCCAGGAAATTTCGAATGTTTCAATATATGTGCTTTGCTAAGAACTGTCTTTTGAATTATTCAAAGCACATGTAAATCCCAAACCCAAATTCCAAATATTTTTAGCATAAGATCACCAAACATTTCACAGTCACTAAAGGAGAAAAGCTACAAGCTCCTTTGTACTCGGATTTGTACTATGTCATTTTGGATTCAAGTTCAGTTCATTTCAACCAAAGGCTCCATTTTCACTCTGAAAAGTGGCACATACCCAGATAAAAAATAAACATTTACCAAATTACACCCTCAAACAGGACAAAATCAAATATTATTCCAAGAGTTAGAGAAAAATTAGAGAAACTTAAGGGCTAATAATACCTGTAATCCATTTCTGTTAAGCTTTTTAATGGCAACTATAGTAGTGTCACCCTGCCCATCTGGAGGCCTAATTGCACCCTTATATACACTCCCAAAACCACCTTCTCCAATCTTCAGCAACCTGTTGAAATTATTTGTTGCATTTCTGAGCTCTAAGAAAGAGAAAACTGTCAAATTGTGCTCTTTCTCGTTGTACAATTCTGGTAAGCCCCTTCGCGATGATACTGAACCTGCGGACCTTGTTGCTCCATTTGCTCCTGGATTATTCGATTTACTTTGAATTTTCAATGTGGGTGACAGATTAGAATTGTGGGGCTCGGGCTTGCGTTTGAGTATGCAAAAACAATTCATTTTTTGAAACTATTAAGTAGCAGTAAACACAAGTATTTTCAGAACAAAATTGAATCAGTTGTGTCTGCACTTCATGTAATATATATTAGGAAAGTGTGAGGAACAGAAGGCTTAGAAAAGATCCAAACAGGGCAGGAACGAAGATCCAGGTGGAAAATGAAGAAGAAGAAGGGATTGACTACAGAAAAACCCAAAACCCAGATTGGAATTGACCTTAAAAAGTAGAAGAGAACACAGTAACAGAAAGTCCAATAGCTTGAAAAGAATGTGGAAGACCTGTAAAGAGAGAAAAGACTGGTAACAGTAGCTGAACCGAGTAAAAATGGAGAGAGAAAGAGAGTAAATCAAGAAAACCCACTTTGGAATTAGACGTAAATGGGTTGAATCTGAAACGCAGAAGCTGAACCGACAAGATATTCAGAGATAAATAAGAAACCCCACCGTCAAAAAAAAAAGATCTTGCTCTGTAAATAACCCAAAAAAGCAAACGAAGAGATAAATTCAGATATGAATCATATGAATATGATGACTCCTTCACCGTAATAGCTAAGCATACCAACTGACCAAGAAAAAGACTCTGCTTTTGTTCACTTTTCTCCTTTGCTTTTGTTCACTTTTCTCGTACTCATTTTGCTAATTTCGATACGTTATCAACTTTGATCTTTTTTTATTGTAGAGAAAAAAGTGGTGAGAACAATGGATAATGTCTAGAAATTATTTTAATAGGTTTTCACCGGTATACTCACGATGTTCTTAATTGTATTCTTTATTTTTTTTGAAGAACGAATCAAATTAGATTAGTTTAGCAATTAATTATCACCTCTCAATATAAATTCTAAAATTTAAATTTTCAATTTCAAAACGAGAAATTTGATAAGTACCTTGTTGAACCACTCCTTCGCGGGGGGGGGGGGGGGGGGTTCTCAACTTTAGTCTTATAGTATGAATTTGATAGCGCAACGTTGAACTGTGACTCGACAGAGGTGGCCGGAGGTTTTAATGACAAACTGTTTGAAGGTGATAGTCGATTTTTTTCTACAGTAAAATATTAGGTTAAATTTAATAATGGCCAACAAAGGAGGGAAGGTGACAGTAGATTTTATAACACTAAAATACAAGGTTATTAACTAAAAACAAAGGATGTAATACATACCTGAATCTAAGCAGAAGACGTAAAACGAGGTTATAATGTATCGTTATTTTTGGATTATTAGAATAAACATTAGACAATTCTATTTTCAAAAAACTGTTATAGATTATTAAATAAATTTAAAAATGTTGTACTTTGATGTTTTTGTTTAAAAATTGCAGTATTTTGGTAATTGATTTCATGTTCTCCTCCCCCACCCCCACCCCAACCTCCACCCTCTTCTTTTTTGTTTTATTATTATTTTAAGAGGATTGGGGGAGGTATTATTCAATTCATTGAATAGTGGGAATGTCTTCTCTTTTCTCCTCACACATGCATGGTTGATTTATTCTACGATCCACAGTTTCTCATTTCTAGTCAACCTCAATGCATTGGCATGAAGACTTGTATTGACTCCTATTGCGATCCTTGTCTAAATCCGCAACAGGGTGACAAATAAAATATATAACTTATCCCAATTTAACGTACAAAATCAACTAAATTCATCATTATAATCAGAATATTCCGGATCATAAGTTTCAAATCCGAGTTTGGTAAAAGACGTTTTGGTTAAATACAATTAGTAGAATTTATGGGTTATTGAACATATTCAAATTTACGCGCTTTATTGAATGTGCATGGTTTTAACTAGGGGTGTTCACCTACCCTACGGGTAGAAAATATAATCTTTCACCTTCCTACCCGATAATTTGCGGAAGAATTTTTTCATATCCTACCCTACCCGATCAGGTGTGGTATTCCTACTCAACTTCCTACTCGATTAATCGGGTAGAAAGTTGTGTAAACACTTTTGTAACTATTAATTTTTGGATCATTTTAACAATTCAATTAAATAACATGCACCAATTTAACAACACAATAAATCAATAACACTAAAATCTAAAACAACTACAACAACAATTATAATAAAACACAGGAGAGCGTGAACATCAATCCATAATAATTGTTACACAAATACAATAACAATTATTTTAAATTTAAATAATATGAAATACATTAAAATTATAACAGTTTCAATAGATCACTAATTCACCATAAATCATGTAACCTACACAAAAAATAAGTTCATATTTTAGCAACTCAAACATTCATAACAATGTTAATGTATAATATAAATTATACTACACAAATACTCTTATAATTACTAAAAAAAATATAAAAAAGTTACATATATTTTTTACGGATAAGTAGGGTATGATGCGGAAATTGATGGGTATTCCGCATTCCTACCCGATTTAATCAAAAGACCAAAAATTCTTCTGCATTCCTACCCGATTTTTACGGCTAACCGTTCAGTAGGGTAGGGTATGATAGAAAATTGTGACTAATCAAAAATTTGAACACTTTTAATTTTAACAAATTGACTACACATACTTATAACTGAAATTTCCATTATTTCTAATGCCTTTTTTTTTGTTATCTATTTTCTCTTATAGTAGATAATATATCAAGAAAAAAATAGTTAAAAATTATATCTTATAGCGAATCTTACTCCCTGAAATTTACATTTTAATTACATGTATAAAGACTTTTGATTTAGTTGATTTTTTATTAAAAATAATAATAATAATAATAATAGGCCGCCTATCCCACAAAAAAGAGGAGATGACAGAGTCAGTGGGAGCCAGTTTTGGGTGAAAACGACCGAAGAGGTGGGAATTCGACAAAACCATAAAGCCATTCTAACGCGTTTGACGCAATAGTCTTCATGCTGTGGTGTGTACCCTTTCGTTTTACTTTGAATTTTTTTTTTCCAACCCAAAAGGTGAATCATGGCATAAAAAGGCAGGTTATAAATTTAAATATTTTAAATTTAAATTTTAAAATTTTTTGAAGCCAAATTATGAAGAATTTATCTTGCATTAATATTTTAATCCCGACGTAGATAATTTATTTTTAATAGGATTAGAAATAAAATTAATTAAAATGCGTACAAATTTACAAAGACAATCCTGACCGTTCAACCAAAAAAAAATCTTCACCGAAGCTTCTCTTCTTTTCTACATTAACGTCGATGTCAATTGCTTCACGGTAAAAGGTGGGTTAAGTGGAAAATAACGAGATGAGACATACGAATTGGATTCAAGTCTCATTGTGAATACAAACTCGAGTCTAAACTTGTACACGTATTGTACGGATAAATACATATATTTCAGAGCTGTTGTTAAAGCCATTAATTTTTTTTAAAAATGTAATTGAGATAATTTTTCCTTTTTAAGAAATTAAAAAAAAAAAAAAGTTATTGGCCCTTGTACAGATATTGTAAAAAACAAGCCACAGTATTTATCAAGTTTTTACCATTAACTTTTTTTTTGAACAAAAGTCTATGTCCTTTTCCTTTTTCTTTTCCTTTTCTTTTTCTTTTTCTTTTTCTTTTTTGACTTTTTAGAACACGTCAACATAGATTGAATTGGATTGGATTAGGATGAACTGGATTCATGTTTGTTTGCTGGAGAATTCGTATTAGACTAAAAATGGGGAATCCCAGGGAAAGTTTAGGTTGCGTTTGGTAAAAGGAATTTTTTATTTTTTGGAAAATAATTAAAAAAAAATACTTTGATGATTTTTATTTTTATTTTTATTTTTGCTGCTCCATTTTAAAATCAAAGACAAAATATAGAAACATTCAAAATGATATTTTTAAAAAAATCTAAAATGAAGACACGCAGGAGGCGCTGAAAGGACTTTAATGAGGTCCAACCTCGGAGCCATGTTAATAGCAAACAAAAGATATTTTTTTGGTACATATTTAAAGACCTCAACTTTCTTTCTCTTTCTTCGAATATCTCTATTTTGCAATTTCATCTCTCGCCTCTTGCCGCTCTCTCTCTTTTGCAGTGAGGTTGGATGGTGGTTTTAGGTGGTGTTGGCTAGTGGGTTTTGGTGGTTATTGGCGGTGGATTTAGGTGGAGTTGACTGGTGGGTTTTGAAGTGGGGTTAGGGGGTGAGGTTTTTTTTCAATTGACCACTTGTTGAGGTTTGTAAAAGAGGTTTCTATTGCCATCCGAGTTTTGTAAAAAAGGTTTTGGTTAAATACAATTTGTGGAATATATGAGTTATTGGTAGGATAAATAATTGAGCCGAGCTATTCGGATTCAGTTTGAATAGGACTCGACTCATGTTCTAAAAGAATCGAACTTGAACAATTTGTTAGACTCGTTTAGAAAATGAGCCTGAAAAGAGTTGGGGTGCAACTAGAGCAGGTTAAGAGGTTAACTCTATCTCAATCCTAGGTATATAATCTTCAACTCTAACCCTAAATCTAACTCTACTTTAACTCGAGTTTAATTCGGGCGAGTTTGGGTTGAATTCGAGTTAATTTTGAGTTAAAAATCGAATTGAACTTGGGTTACTTAATTCAAATTGATTTTTTGAATTGTAGATTTGAATTTTTCAAGTGATATGAGATGATGGGCGATGCGCAGATGAAGAGAGAATGAGGAGAGACGAGTGAGAGAAGAATCTGAGAGTAATAAAGGCGCAAGGGTGAAGACTTGAAGTGAATTGAAAATCTGAACTTTAAAAAGTGAAGATAAATATTAACCCTAGTTAAATATATTTATATATTTTATGTATATTCGGATTCAACTCGATTTTAATATTCGGGTTAAACCCGACAACCCAAGACTTGTCTAAATTCAATTTAAATTAGGATTTATTGGCCCAGGCCCAACTTAAATATTAAAAATTATAATTCAAGTCCTGTTTTTTTCGAGTTGGGCTTGAGTTGAATTCAAATTAGTCTGCTCAAGTTGCACCCCTAGAAAAAAGTTCAACTTGAACTTACAAAACTCGGGTCGTTATGTGTAAAATAGTCAAGTTACTCAGGTTCGGTTCGTTTTGAACTCGGTTTGGGCTCGATTTCTTTTTTAAATGAATCGAGTTTAAATAATTTTTTATGATAATTTTAAAAAATAAATTCAACAAATACGACTCAATTATTAACCAAAATTTTTAGACATATTTAGATTTACAGGAGTCTTGTCTCGCCTTATTGGATGTGACTGATTTAACAAATTGACTATACATACCTACAATCGAAATTTCGACTCTCCCTAAGTTGTCTTTTATCTAATTTCTCTTATTAAATCATCTCA